GAATAGTGGGATTGACCGTCACATTATAACGCCCCCCACGGCTGAAAGGGCGAACATGTTTGGTGTGACGGGGGTTCGAACCCGCGACCCTCGGATTGCGAGTCGAGCGCCCCCTAACCACCTGGCCATGCCGGGCATTTACTTTATGTTTCTGTATGTGTCGATATTTGACTAACATAACTAACACTTTTTCACTTCGAAACAGTAAGTTTCATCATCTTTTCTTTTAATCACATGAAATTGTTTGTTATTTTCAAACCTGAACGGCACGTTTTACGACACACGAGCTAAGACTTCCAGGTCAGAGGCCTGACCATGGCGTGATGATTAAGACGTTCGACTCGCAATCTGTAGGTCACGAGTTCGAATTCAGTCACCTAACATACTCGCCTTTTCAACCGCGGGGGCGTTATAATGTAATGATCAATCCCATTATTCGTTAGCAATTGAGTAGCCCAAGAGTTGGTGGTGGGTGGCGTTGATTAGCTGCTTTCCCCCTAGTCTGATAGCCCTCCAGTAGGTATGCGTGAAACAAACAGACCCCAAGATTCGGGTATAACCCATGGTACAAGTGACAGTGGAACAGGGGCGGGGGGCATCCCATTACTAAGAAAGTCACCAAAGACACCCCCCTAGTTATATAAAAATGAGGGGCAAGGGAGAACTGAAACAGTACTATAGGATAAATGAAAGTTTGTGAATCAACTGTAATGAGGAGCATATGATCATACATAAAAACAGGTAGCGGACTGTAGCGTTGTGAGTTCGTTAACTTACCGCTGACTCAACAGGATGTTGCATGCTTAATAAAATGTTATAGTGTATAGTTGACTTTTTAGGGTGTTCTTTCGATAAGCAGGAGTAGAAGCTATCTGCAGCGCTCGACGCCAATTAACCGAATAGTGGAATTGACTGTTATGGTTATAACGCTTCCACAGCTGAAAATGCTTCGTATTTCCAGCGCTAATGTGCATCTCGAACCTCGGACCTTCTTGTACCTTGGTCTATCTAATATTAATCAGTCATTTTAGGGATCAGATGAACGTAATTTTTATAAACGTTTATAATTTTTCTATTTTTAGTAATGTTTTATATGCGGTTTTCCTTTAACACTGAAATTACGAGTGGTCTTTGTATCGTTCACTGGAGGTGGGGGGTTCACATTTTGCGTCATATTCAGCAATTTTATTCGTCTGACTGTCACAACGCAGAACTAAGTCAAAAATATCTGGGTGAAATCGCCCATTTTCTGTGCGATTAATTATAACGTTGAAAATGGTTATTTTAAATTGTAAGTTTACGGGCTTAAAACGCTAAAATTCGAGGTTAGATACCACGTGGTGGACGCAGAGCAGATAGCCCATCGTGTAGTTTTGCGCTAAAAACATAACGACAACGTTTGATTTTTGTGTGATTCAAACACATGGATATACAAAGTTTTTTGGTACATAAATAATATTACAAAAATAAATATGTTACAAAGACGAAGTACAATTTTGGCCGAGGTCCAGGCTCGTCTTAAGTTCGTGGAATCTCGTTGGTTTTCGATTAAATTTTATGCATTCTCCTGCTTTTCCTGAGAGTAATTTTCCTACTTTTGATGCACTTTTACTGGGATAGATTGAAAAGTAGGAGGGGGACTGGACCCCCTCCTACGTCGCTATTTTCCAATAACAACTATAACTTCAAAAACGTACTTTCAGTTAACCTACCGTCGTAGAAATGTACGGGCCTAATTTTTCCGATCAACGTGTGATACGGAATGTTTAGCGCCTTTTCTCGCCGGTAGTTGTCCTAATATACCATAGCGATTCAAATGACACTGTAACCAACTTGTTCTTCAGTGATTTCTAACGGGTCGTTGCTGCCTTTTAAAGCTTAAATCAATGGATCTACACATCGCATTTTAGCTCTCATTAAAACGTTGGAAGAAATCACAGCGTGTGGAAGTGACGCGAGGTATTAATTTGGTAAAAGCAAACAAACAAACAATATTTTGTCCAATTACAAAACGAGGAAAACTTGAGCCCTTCACAAGAAGTCCCCAAATCGTGTATCAAAACAAAAAAAAAAAAAAAACTCAAGTGATTCCACAAATCGTGTATCAAAAACAAAGAAAAATAAACTCAAGTGATTTACACTTTTGAAACCCGAACCTGTAGTGCGATTGTTTTATACTGTTAGTGGTTATCGTTACAAAACACTCATAACCCACAGAACAATGCTGGTTATTAACCTTTATCGTGTACCTGATAATACCCAGAGTTTGGACAGAATAAACTGGGTTTTTTTTGGGTTTTTTGTTTTTGTCTAGGCTAAATTTTTGAGCTAAATCTTTCCGTTGAATCTGGATATTTGAGATAATAATATATGTTCCGTAATGTGTGTGTGTGGGAAAATCGACCGAAACTATATATATATTCTTGTACGTCAACATGACGCGTTGAAATTTGAGTTTTTATCAGAATTAAAAGCTTAATCTTCTAAAGATGAGAGAGACATCTCAGCTATGGAGGTCATAGTTTCATATTAGGCTTCTTGACACCACAGACAACTAATCTTTGTGGAAATATGAAAGGAAGTCGTGTCCACGATCTCTGAGTGACGAGATGTGCTCGTCACGTTGACGGATGCACGTGCCAGGGAAGCGTATCAATACCACGAGTTCTTGAATTACAGTTCGGCCCTTATGTTGATAGTAATTACATTTTATTGTGGCCAGCTGATAGTAGTTTTACAGTACCCCGCTAGAGGGAGTGTTGTAGGCAGTCACTTACCATTTAACATTTCTAAAGTTTACCATAGGCTTAACTACCTAAGGGTCTGGGAGAGATGAAGCCCCCCCCCCCTGGTCCCTTCGTGTATCTTAAGAGAGACCTGACTGACCCCAGACCTGAATATGAATAGTACTAATTATTAGATTTCACACAGCCCCTCCTGTTCAGATTTGATAGCTACAATCAATTTTAATAACCTCGTGAAGGTCGGCCTGGCCGCCGACTGCGTTGGGATCCCCGCCTTCCGAGGTGGGGCGCACCAACGGCCCGTCCCTGCCGCTACGTAGAAATCCGGAGTCGGAGCCCCGAAGGCAGTTCGACGTTGATTCCAACCCCGTTCTGGCAGCTCCTGCGACCGCGTTGACACCAAACTGTATCAGCACTGCTGTTCCTTTGGCTCCGTCATCGAGGTGGAGAAGGGGAGGCAAGTTGCGTGGGCAACAGCCTGTCCCCCATATCAGAATGCCCAGGCTTACATCCGTCAATATCAAACAATGGACGGATGCTCATCTATGGTCAAACCTGGCCGAAGGAGGCCTACTAATAACCTCGTGGCAGGTGGTCCATCAGTTATCTAAAGTGTGAAATATTTGGACGGATGCTCATCCATGGTCAAACCTGGCCGAAGAAGGCCTACTAATAACCTCGTGGCAGGTGGTCCATCAGTTATCTAAAGAGTGAAATATTTGAAACATCTTTGATTTACTTCAGTAATCAGTAAACTGTTCACTTCAGTGAACGAACACTTAACGTAATCCCGTTTCAACTTGTGAACCCTCATTTTTTTTCGAACAAAACGTAGTTGTAATTATTTTGTTTATTACCTCCAACCTTCATCTATCCCTCCATCTCTCTATCTGTATGTTCATCCGTCCGTCCATGTATGCACCCATTCATATATTTATCTGTCTGCCCTTCCGTCCGTACATCTGTCTACTAGCTGGCTATCCACTTATTCTTTAACCTGTTTGTCTATCTGTCTGTTCACTTATCTATCTCGTTTTGGTTTTGGCAGGAATATTATAAAGGCGGTTGACGCAATGTATAAAAATACCATATTCTATGTAGTTCATGGGTTGGTTTCAACTTCAGCCGTTCCTTGTAAAAAAGATGTAAAACAAGGAGATCCAATAAGTGGATTTTTTATTTACACTAGCAATAAAACATTTTCTTTATGATTTCAGAAACAATATCAAGTTTTTAGTTGTCATCAAAGACTTATTTTGTCATCTGTCTAATATCGATGTTTATATCGTCAGCATAACATAAGATGACAGAATAACACCCTGACGATATAAACATCGATATTAGACAGGTGTTATTCTGTCATCTTATGCTGACGGTATAAACATTGATATTAGACAGGTGTTATTCTGTCATCTTATGCTGACGGTATAAACATCGATATTAGACAGGTGTTATTCTGTCATCTTATGCTGACGGTATAAACATCGATATTAGACAGGTGTTATTCTGTCATCTTATGCTGACGATATAAACATCGATATTAGACAGGTGTTATTCTGTCATCTTATGCTGACGATATAAACATCG